GGGGCGCCGGGGGGCCCCCGCGCCCCCAGACGGAGGGCCCCGGAAGTCCTAGGCTGAGGGGCCCGGAGGGGCCTGAGCGCCTCCGGACTGAGAGGCCCGGACGCCCAGGACCCCGGGGAGGGGTCCGGGGATCCCGGGGTATCCCTAGAGGCGGGGCCCGGGGAGCAGCAGGCCCGTCGACGCGGAGCTGGGGAGGGGCCTGGGTTGCGCTTGGGCCGGGGGAGGGGGGGCGGGGAACGAGAGGGTGGGGGTGGGACGAAAGGTGAAGGAAGCCTGGGTTCCCGCCCGGGAGGAGACCCTCGGAAGCTTGGCGGGGGAGCAAGAGCAAAGAGTAGGTTCTGCTGAGGGAAGGAGGCCTAAGCTTCACCCAAGGGGCGCGTTAGAGGCCTCGGCCGTTCAGTCCAGGCGAAAAGAGGCAGGTGGTGTTCTGAAGGCGTGGCGACACGGTGGGTAGTGGGAGCAGGGGACGAGGAAGAAGAGCACCAGGGAAAGTGAGCAGGCCTCTGCCTTCCCGGAGGTGAGGGGGCAGTAGGGAGACGCCTCAGAGCCTTCTCAAGTAGGAATGGGAAGGGTCCAAACCTGTGAGGGTGTGAGAGATCGAATACCTTCTGATATACAGATAGAGAACAGGACGATCTGGTGTGTTAGGGGATGGGAAAACCCGTGTTTTTGAGGACCAGAGAGAAGATAGTTGAGGGGAAGAAGCTTGAGTACCCCTGCTTTCAGAAATGACAGGGGAATTGGCCAGGTGTCTCCTGAGGGGCAGGAACGATGACAGCAGAATCTTATCTGAGGGTCCTGGAGAGTGATCCACCAGACTTAGGCATGTCAAGCCTTGACCTACGGATCCGGGGAAGGCTTGACTGTCCAAGGAATAGGAGGAGGTCTGAATTCTCTTAAAATGAGAGAAATCTCAAAAGTACTTGCTACCAGACACAGAAGGGGCCTTGTTTGGTGTTTTTTTAGGAGAAGCAAGAAATGTGATTCCTCCTTAACCTGGAGGATGAGGGAGAGGGAGGATCAGGTCATTCTAGACTCACGGAGGGTTTCTTTTCTTCTCCCTTGCCTCTGCTAATGGTTACCAAAGTGCTTTTGGAGGACTTTTTCATTAAATGTTTGAACTGTCTTCCCTAATTTATCAGCCTTTTATCAACTATGGATACTTAAGATCTACTGACTTGATGACTTTTTTATTAGTCATTAGCCAACCATTTATTCATATTTACTTCAACAAACATACTAAAAAGCTAATTTGTACTCAACTTCATTGGGTTAGCTTGGGCCCTGAATTGGTCTTGCCCTAAGCAGAAGTCTCCTAGACTCTAGTGCGGTGATCTTTCAAAGAACACTTTTATCTCATTGCTTCCCCCAAACACCTATATAGTAGTCTCCAATATGTGACTTATCCCAAACTTCATTTGTTTTGGCTGTGTCCCTCACAGTGGTCCTGTGTAGCCTTCTTGTTGGCTTTACTACATTTGATAGTGCCCTGGATCACTTACTGAATGCATGAGAAGGAATGAAAAAAAAAAAGGAGTTTTGGCCTCAAGTAATAATAAAGTTTTACCTTGGAAAATTTTTTTTAAAGACTTTATTTGTCAGAGAGAGAGCACAAGCAGGGCGAGCAGAGGCAGAGGGAGAAGCAGGCTCCCCGCTGAGCAGGGAGCCCGATATGGGACTCAATCCCAGGACCCTGGGATCACGACCCAAGCCGAAGGCAGCCGCGTAACTGACTGAGCCACCCAGGCGTCCCTAATTTGGAAATTTCTTAAGAACAGACTACACAGTTGGGGCGCCCTGGTAGCTTAGTGCATTAAGCGTCTTGACTTTGGCTCAGGTCATGGTCTCAGGGTTCTGGGATTGAGCACCGCCCCCGCCCCCAGGTCTGGCTCCCTGCTTAGCAGGGAGTCTCCTTCCTCTCCCTCCATCCCTCCCCCCACTCATGCGTGCACTCTGTCAAATAAGATGTTTAAAAAGTAAAGAAGCTACACAGTCTATGAAAATTACAATACAGTATGGAATCAATAAATACATTTTGGGGTTAGAAAACTTCAAGGTATCCGCTATTTCTTTTATTCCTTTTCAACTACCAACTTTGATGTTCCTGCAGTCATGTGACACTCATAATCCTGCTAAGTTTTAAACATTAGTTTTCAGAAGTGCCTGGCTGGCTTAGTGGATGAAGCGTGTGACTCTTGATTTTGGGGTTGTGAGTTTGAGTCTCATGTTGGGCACAGAGATTACTTTAAAAAAAACCCAACAACAAAAAGAAACATTAGTTTTCAGAACAGAAAAAAATGAATTTAATCCGGAGTAGGTCAGATGTCATTTATTTAGTTATTTTGTAGCTTATGTGAGTATTCATGTGCCTACTTTCAAGGTATCTTTTTTTGTCTTTGAAAATAACTACAAAATAATTCTTTTCACATAAATTTGACATCTTTCCTTTATGTGTGTTCCCCTAGAATTACAGAGTGTTGTGTGATTGCACAATGAATACTCTCAGGCCCTTTCCCTGAAATACCCAAAGGAGCAACTCAGTCATCTTGCCTCAGGAATTTTTGTTGCTATAAACAAGAGCTACTTTTTAGTTTATACTCACCTCAAGAGATGACCTTGCAGTTAGCCAGTGTAGTCTGTAGAGCTGGTTTCAGGAATGTGGTATTTAGGGTAATAAGAGATACTCAACCTAAACTTGCTTCTCTAAAGAATGTAAGTATTGCCATGTTGGATCAGACCTTGTGTCTCTTACTGACACTGAGAGACATATTGTGGATGATTATAATTGCCTTCTTGGATAAACTCAGAAGGTTAGAGAACATTCCTCTTGGGTTCCAAGGTGTGGGAGGGCTAAGGAGTAAAATATGAGTTCCCATTGAGGAAAGTATTAATCAAGTAGTTAGTCAACCACTTATTCAGAGTGTTGTAGAGAGGGCTCAACCTTAGGGTAGAAGGTTAAAACTAGAAGCATCCTTCTAATTCTCCTCCTCTAACCCATTAATTTACTTAAGCTATTTTTAAAATTGTAAACCACTGTTTTATTTTTTTTATTTTTTTTTAAGATTTTATTTATTTATTTGAGAGAGAAAGAGAGAGAGAGAGCACATGAGGGGAGGGAGGGTTAGAGGGAGAAGCAGACTCCCTGCTGAGCAGGGAGTCCGATGCGGGACTTGATCCTGGAACTCCAGGATCATGACCTGAGCCGAAGGCAGTCGCTTAACCAACTGAGCCACCCAGGTGTCCTAAATCACTGTTTTAAAATAATAAATTACATAAGTTTGTTACATGCTAAAGTTTACATCTTTCAAATTTATTAAATATGTAATAGTAACAGAATAGTGCTTGACAATAAGTGTCCAGCAAATGTTAGCTGTGATTCTTTTCATTCAAGCTACATTTTTATGGTTCAAGCTTTGAAGATATCTATTGGTTCAATCATTCTAGGATTTGATAGCATTTGTATGCTTCGTCATATCCCTTTTTGTCTTCTTCTAGACTCCGAGGTCCTAATTGTTTTGGTTCTGTTGCTGGCAGCCAGCTGAACCAGTCCATTGATTCTCTTTTTTATCCCTAGTTTTTTTTTTTTTTTTTTTAAGGTTTATTTATTTATTTGAGGCGGGGGTGGGGCAGAGGGAGAGAGAATTCTGAAGCAGACTCCCCACTGAGCTTGGAGCATTGCAGGGCTCAATCCCAGGACCCTGAGATCATGACCTGAGCCAAAATCAAGAGAGAGCCGCTTAACTGACGGAGCCACCCAGGTGCCCTATTCCTAGTTTTAAGCCTTTGATTTACAGAAGTTCAGATAGTGTACTGTAATATCTTACAATTAATTTTTTTCTCTAGTATATGATAATGTCATGCATCTATTTTCCTTCTTTAGTTCCTTAAGAGCAGAAACTGTCCCTTTTCATATTTAACGAGCCTAACTCTGTGCCTGATGTGGAGTAGAGACTCAGTATTTGTTGAATTGGCCATAATGACAGACAATAAGTTTAACCTAGCTGCCTAAACAAATTTATATCCCCTAATTTAGAAAAGTAGAAAATTCTAGAAGTCTTTTAGGGCAAGGCGAGTTATTCACTACACAAAAATATATTACATACCTGTTATGTGCCACATTTCCTCAGAAAGTTTTAGCTAGGCAGTTTTGTAAATAGAAGTCTGATATTTGAACACTATTTACTTACTCCTGTTCCTGGGTATTGAGCTAGGCATAGGGGAACTGTTGAAAAAGAAAAGCAATCTTTGCTCTCCCAGGATATAGTCTGGTGAGGAGAGGTTGACAAAGTGGGGTAATGGTTATGACAGGGGTGCTGCAGCAGGTTCTAAGGGAGCAAGAACACAAGCTTACATCTAGTCAGGGAAGTCACGGGCCTCCCTGTGAATGAACGTGTGTAAAATTTTTATTTATTTATTTTTTTAAGTAAACTCTGTGCCCAACATGGGGCTTGAACTCATGACCCTGAGATCAGGAGTCGCATGCTCTACCGACTGAGCCAGCCAGGCATCCCAGGAAGTGATGTTTTAAATAAGTTATAAAAGTTTAGCAGTAACTAGCCAAAAAGAAAGGAAAAGAGAATTCTAGGTAGAGGAAACAAGTGTGAAGGCTCAGGTGAGGAAATATGGCATGTTTGAGAAATTGAAAAAAATTCCGCGACAGGAGCCCACAACATGAGAGGAAGAACTATGAGAAACGAGGCTAGGACGGGACAGATTTGGAGGATTCTACAAGCACTGTTAAGATGCTTGCACTTTAAGGGCGCCTGGATGGCTCAGTCGGTTCAGCGACTGCTTTCGGTTCAGGTCATGATCCTGGAGTCCCGGGATCGAGTCCCACATCGGGCTCCCTGCTCAGCGGGGAGTCTGCTTCTCCCTCTGACCGAACCCCCTCTCATTCTCTCTCTCTCTCTCTCTCTCTCATTCTCTCTCTCAAAAATAAATAAATAAAATCTTTAAAAAAAAAAAGATGCTTGCACTTTAAGAGCAAAGGGAATCCACTGAAGGATCCCGAAATGGGGAAATGGCCTGTGGCCTTCAGTAAGATTACTTTGTCAGCTCTGTAGATAATGGAGTCGAGAGCAAGACCAGAGATTAGGATACTGATGAGAAGCAGCTGGAAAAATTCAGGTAACAGTGTGGCAGCTTAGAATGGTGGTGGCAGCACAGATGGAGAATGGGGGATGGTTAAAAGACAAATATAGATGGGGCACCTGGGTGGCTCGGTTGGTTAAGCAACTGCCTTCGGCTCAGGTCACGATCCTGGAGTCCCAGGATCGAGTCCCGCATCGGGCTCCCTGCTCGGCGGGGAGTCTGCTTCTCCCTCTGGCCCTCCTCCCTCTCATGTGCTCTCTCTCTCTCAAATAAATAAATTTCTCATTCTCTCTCTCAAATAAATAAATAAAATCTTTAAAAAATATAAAAGAGAAATACAGATGATAGAATGGATAGGATTTGGTGGTTGATTGGATTTAGAAAGAGAAGGATGAAAAATAACTCCGAAGTTTCTGGCTTGAGAAAATAGGTAGAGGATGGTGTCATTTACAGAGGCAGGAAACAGGAACAGGTTTATGAGAGAATATGAGTTCAGTTTAAGGTGTCTACAAGATAAATTTTAAGAGGCTTTTGGGTACAAGAGGTATAGCATTCAGGAAAAAAGTTTGTGAGAATCATAAAAGACATAAGTCTGATATATGGAATTTTAACTAGGTCAAATACAAACAAAAATTGATTGAACCAATGTGTCAGTGCCATGATGAACAGGGCTGTGGGAGACAGGCTTTTTAAAGAAGCAACACCTGCCCTTTTAATTTTTAGAATTAAAAATACCAAAAATATGAAAAAATAGAAAAAATAAAGAAGCAGCACCTCAAAGTATAGTTCAGTTATGGAAATAGAGGTCTGTTCAGTTAACTACAATACAAAGCACAGTGTGATAATCCTTAGAGGAGAGCTACAAACCAAGTACTGGGGGACCAGAAAAGAAAATGGTTTGGCAGGGGCTTTGTGGAGGAGTGGTCTTTGAACTGGGGCCTTGAAGGGAAAAGTTGATGAGAGAGAAGAGAGTTTGGGCTTAAGGAATAACAAAGGTATAGAAACCTGAATGTACATACTGTATTTTCAGAGTACAGGGGGAGGCTGGTATGGCTGGCCCTGAAGTTTCTTGGGGAATTACAGTTGCAAATGAAAGTGGAAAACTATTTGGGGTCCAGATGATGGAGACTTTGAGTGCTGTGCTTAAGTATGCATATTATATGCAAACAGGTGCTGTGGCAGAGCTGAGGTGTGGATTCAGTTGTCTGACTACCAGTCACATATTCAAACATGCATCTACCATGTCCCTACTCTTAGCATGTCCTAATCATCTTAGGTATCTTTTTTTTTTTTTAAGATTTTATTTATTTATTTAATTGACAGAGAGAGAGACACGGCGTGAGAGGGAACATAAGCAGGGGGAGTGGGAGAGTGAGAAGCAGGCCTCCGGCCGAGCAGCGAGGGAGCCCAATGCAGGACTCGATCCTGGGACTCCAGGATCATGACCCGAGCCGAAGGCAGTCGCTTAACCAACTGAGCCACCCAGGCGCCCCTGATCTCACATATTTAAGTAAACACAGTGCTCCTACCTATGCTCTCTTAAGTGACTCCTTTCTCTGCAACTGTGAGAACTAACCACTGCAGAATATCCTGGGGCCCTCAGAGTTTTCATTAAACTTGGGATGATGCTTTGTTAGAGTCAAGGAGCACATGGTGCTGGACACTGGTTTCCCCAACAAGTCTGCAAGGGAGATGTCAGGCAAGATCATCTCTCCATTCAGTCTGAGGCAAAGAGGTAGTAAGAAGTTCCTAGAGATCATGCAGTTGGATTCAGTATTTATTAAATAACCACAAAATGCAAATCACTTTTCTTCCTATCCAGTTTATTTCATTTAGCGGATACTTATTAAGTAATTCACAAACAACAGAGCACTTGGTGAAGTGCAATGGCTGGTTGCAAAGAAAAGAGATGATTCCTACTTTCTAGGAGCTTACTGTTTGGCATGGAACTAGTGGTGTGCTGTAAATCAGTTCTCCAGGAAAAAAAAAAATACCCTGACCTCTAGTGCTTGCCAGTTTCTGTGGTGTATATACTCCCAGCATCACTGATTTCAAGCTAACAATTTGATGTCACTAAACTCAGAGTTGGGAAGAGATGTGCACAATTGGTTCTCAAGAGCAGGCTCCAAGGCGCCTGGGTGGGTCAGTCGGTTAAATGTCTGCCTTCGGCTCAGGTCATGATCCCAGGGTCCAGTACAGCACTGGGTGAATCACATATCCTAAGAAAGCCTAAATCAGCAAGTGAGTCCTAAGGCATTTCTGGAAAGATCAGAGCCTAGGTCAGCCCCTTCCCACAGTTCCTATCCTTTTCAGAGGACCACGATCTTGGAATTGGTAGTCATAATTATCTTGGTGTTCCTTTCCTATGATTGCCATCTTTTCAAACCGGACCAAGTCACTGGTGCTTCTTGTTTCTGACAGCAGCCCAGCTATCTGACTTCATGTGAAAGATGGCTAATGCGGAAGTGAGTGTTCCAGTGGGGGATGTGGTTGTGGTACCCACTGAAGGAAATGAAGGGGAGAACCCTGAAGACACTAAAACCCAAGTGATCTTGCAGTTACAGCCTGTGCAACAAGGGTAAGTGATTAGAGATTTGGATCTTCTGAAAAATTGGGGAGGTTTAAAGATAGTGGGGAAATTATAACTGTATGCTTAGTACAAGGGAACATTCACCATCAGTCTCTCAGAGCTGGCTAAGTTTTCATCTTTATAAAGTACTGTGTGCTATATTCGTCATCGTAATACTTATTACAACAGTTAACTGTGTCCTTGTCTCTTTCCCTCTTCACTGTAAGCTCTTTGAGGGTAAGTTACATGGTTCCCTCCTCTTATTGATCCACACTGTTTAGCACAGGGCCTTAGTACATGTTTACTGAAAGACAGTGTAGTTAGAGTCAGAAGAGATTAGGTAAGGCACCTACGAAAGTTTTCCTGCCAGAAGTGGTCTGGACCCTAAGGGATGGGCAAATTAATCAAGCTTAGTTTATTAAAAAAATACATATCAATGACCTACTATTTTATAATGTATTACAAAGTGTTGGAAGAAATATAGCACATGGTTCCCACCATCATGGAGCTTGTAGTCTGGTTGTGCAAACCAAAAATACATATATGTAAATAAAGAGGTCACTTACATGGCAAAATCTAAGAAAGTGTACTGAGTGTTGTGGTTAGGAAGTAGCTTGAATTCAGAGGATCACTATGAATTTGAACGAAGAGATAAGATTTTTTAATTGGTCTTGAAGTTTAAATAAGACATATCTACAAAGAGAAGGAAGGGGTAGTTACTTTATCTTGAGGAATATATAAAAGATTCTTCATAAGATTAGAAATGTTCTCGGGGCATCTGGCTGACTCAGTGGAGCATGTGACTCTTGATCTCAGGGTTGTGAGTTTGGGCCCCATGTTGGGTGTAAAATTACTTAAAGAAACAAAGGGGTGCCTGGGTGGCTCACTTGGTTAAGCATCCAACTCCTGATTTCAACTCAGGTCTTGATCTCAGGGTTGTGAGCTTAAGCCCCACATTGGGCTCCACACCCAGTGTGGAGCCTACTTAAAAAAAAAAGAGAGAGAGGAAGAAAAAAAAATGTTCTTGGGCAAACACATAATCCATTCTCAATCTACTAAGTAACATACCTTGTCTTAAACACTTATGGAGAAAGACAGTCAACCTTTCTTGGTAACTTAAACTTTTTAGTATAGGAAATTTCAAATATACCCCCAGATTTTTAAAAAATACTATAATGAACCCCCATGTACAGACCCATCACCCAACTTCAACAATTATCAACACATGGCCAGTCTTATTTCATCTTTACATCCACCCACTCCTGAATTTTTTAAAGTAAATCCCAGACATTAGTATGTATCTTGTAAAAGTAAGGACTTTTTAGTTTTTAAAATATAACCATAGTTTGCTGACATTTCTGAATATTGAAGGAAATATTCTAAGATCTGTAAGAGGGGCCCCTGGGTGGCTCAGCTGTTAAGCATCTGCCTTTGGCTTGGGTCATGATCCCAGGGTCCTGGGATTGAGCCCCATATTGGGCTCCCTGCTCAACAGGAGCCTTTTTCTCCCTCTCACACTCCCCCTGCTTGTGTTGCCTCTCTCACTGTCTCTCTGTCAAATAAATAAATAAAATCTTAAAAAAAAATCTAGCGGCGCCTAGGTGACTCAGTCATTAAGCGTCTGCCTTCAGTTCAGGTCATGATCCTGGGGTCCTGGGATCGAGCCCCACTTCGGGCTCCCTGCTCAGCGGGAAGCCTGCTTCTCCCTCTCCCACTCCCCGTGCTTAAGTTCCTGCTCTCGCTCTCTCTCTCTCTCTGTCAAATAAATAAATAAATAATCTTTAAAAAAATCTATAAAAAAAATAAGATCTGTAAAGGAAAGTTAATAAAAGTACTGATGGGGTGCCGGGCTGGCTCAGTTGGACTGTGTGACACTTGATCTTGGGGTTGTGAGTTCGAGCCCCATGTTGGGTGTAGAGATTACTTAAAAAAATAAGATCTTAAGAAAAAATAATTACTGACATATAGTGGATAGAGTGATTAGAATTTTTATTTGCCCCAAAAGTTTATGCTTGTTTATTCAAATTCACTTGTTTGGGAACTTCATTTGTTACATACACACATACTTGCAGTTATTACCCTTTGAGGAAGGGTAATGAGGAAGAATTAAAAGAGTAGATTCTTTGGTGCATGGCAGCTTTATTTTCTCTTGGAATCATTGTTTCTTCTTTCTTTCCTAAAGTGCTCCAGTTGTCATTTATCCTATCCCTCCTAGAGACAGAAAACACTTCTCAACTACTTAGAGACTTAATTATTTTGAAGATTAGTTCCACTTATTTTGTGTGTGTGTCTTTTTTTATTTTCCAAATGACATTGCTTTTTCTGGAAGCCTCTCATTGCTTGATTAGATTATAGGCATCTTTGTACAACGTTGACTCCCCAACCTACTGTTTACACTGAATTTGCCATATGAGCTAGTGAATAAATACATTTTCAAGTACTGAATTCTGAGCTATCTGCCAATCAATGCTCAGTCGATTTCTCTAGTTGTATTTTATTTTATTTTTTAAAATATTTATTTATTTATTTATTTATTTATTTATTTAGAGAGGGAGCGTATGTTCAGGGGGGAGGGGCAGAGGAAGAAAAAGAGAGAATCTCAAACAGGCTGCACACTTAGCATGGAGCCTGACATGGGGCTCAGTCTCATGACCCTGAGATCATGACCTGAACTGAAATCAAGAGTTGGACACGTAACTGACTGAGCCACCCAGGCACCCCAGGAAATTTTTTCTTGATAAAACCTTGTTTATAGACTGTGCCCCTACTTCCCACTGCAAGTGCAATTTACTGGTTGTTGAAATTATGTATAAATAAGAATTTTTTCTTTTAAACGATTTTGCATATATTGGTCAATTTACAATGAGTTTACTGAACTTACTTGAAGTAGTGGTTTCTCATGTTTATCATAATCCTCATTCACTGACCAACAATTTAGGTACTTTGCCATGTTCTAGTTAGTATTCGATACACTAGACATACAAAATTGAACAAATAAATAGGACATAATCGCTGTTCTCAGGAGCCTCTTGGACTATGCCCAAGGGGAGGCAGACAGCTAAACAAACATATAATATTAAGTGTTATATTTGTTGTGACAAAAGCCTAAAGTACAGTTGGGTCACAAAGGAGGAAGTAGATGATTATACTGGAGGGATTGATGTGGACGGAAAAGCATCATAGAGGCTACTCTTTATTAAAAAACAAATAGAGGGGCACCTGGTTGGCTTAGTCAGTAGAGCATGCAACTCTTGCTCCTGGGATTGTAAATTCAAGCTACACATTGGGTATAGAGATTACTTAAAAATAAAATCTTAAAAACAAACAAACAGGGGCGCCTGGGTGGCTCAGTCGTTTTAGTCATCTGTCTTTGGCTCAGGTCATGATCCCGGGGTCCTGGGATTGAGCCCCGCATCGAGCCCCGCATTGGGCTCCTGCTTCTCCCTCTCCTTCTGCCCCTCCCCCCCACCTTGTGCTTGTGTGTGCGCCTGCTCTCCCTCTCTCTCTCTAGCATGCTCTCTGTCAAATAAATAAATAAAATCTTTAAAAAACAAACAGATGGAGAAGGATATTCTGGGGAAAGGGGGAAGTAAGAGCAAAGAGGGAAGGTATAAAAGAAGATGTCAGTTCTGGGAACCACAAATAATTTGGTATGACTAGGGCTTGGATTATAAGGTGAGGTTTAGGGAGAGTTGAAACCAGGGGTCAGATCTTGGAGCAACTTAAATATCCTATTAAGGATTTGGGGGCTTTATTGTAACAGTAAGTAGAGGGTTCTTGAAGGGTTTTAAGGAGGGGTTTACGTGATCGCTTCAGTAGGAGTATAGAAGATCAGGTAGATGCAAGGCGACTAGTTCAGACTAGAGATGATAACAGCCTGAATTAAGGCAGTAGCAGTGGAAAAAGAGACAGGGAGGCTGGCTCATGTTAAGGAGATACATCTGATAGGATTTGGTGGCTGAGTATGTGGGAGTTGAGGAGGAGGAAGAGGGAGAAATCTGATGTAATTCCCAGGCTTCTGTCTTAGGCTGTAGAGTGCTAGTGGTGCCATTAACAAGGATAGGAAATGTAAGAAGAGTGGTTTGGGAGAGGGAAGAGAACTTGGTTATTTTAGACATAATGAATTCAACAAAGTCCTATGGGACATCCAAATGCATTTATTCATTTAGCCAGTTAACTGTATCCTGGTGTGAAATTCAGAGGAGAGGTCTGTGCTAGAGGTGTCACCATGGGGGTGGGTGATACAAGGGATATTATTCAAGCAGTGCTTTCAAATGACAAGATGCAGGGGCGCCTGGGTGGCTCAGTCCGTTAAGCATCTGCCTTGGGCTCAGGTCATGATCCCAGGGTCCTGGGATGGAGCCCCACACCGGGCTCTCTGCTTGGTGGGGAGTCTGCTTCTCCCTCTCCCTCTCCCTCTGTGCTCTTTCTCTCTCTCTCTCTCAAATAAACAAAATCTTTTAAAAAAAAGATGCAAAGGTTAATACATTATTTTTATTATAGAAATTAAAGGTTGCTAGTGTATTTTATCTGAGCCCATTTCTTAGAAGGTGGAAACATTTTATTTATTTAATTTTTTTGAGACGGAGGGGGGATGGAGAACAGGAGAGTGAGAGATTTTTTTTTTTTTAACTTTATTTATTTATTTGAGAGAGAATGAGAGCTAGAGAGCACAAGAGGGAAGAGGGTCAGAGGGAGGAGCAGACTCCCTGCTGAGCAGGGAGCCCGATGTGGGACTCGATCCTGGGACTCCGGGATCATGACCCGAGCCGAAGGCAGTCACCTAACCAACTGAGCCACCCAGGCGCCTGAGAGTGAGAGATTCTTAAGCAGGCTCCACACCCAGTGCAGAGCCTGACACAGGGCTCAATCTCAGGACCTTGAGATCGTGACCTGAACTGAAACCAAGAATCTGATGCTTAACCGACTAAGCCACCCAGGCACCACAGAAGGTAGAAACATTTTAGAGAGACTTTCCCTAAGTGATACTTCTAGTTAATGCTAGTTACTTTGGGCATAGTCTCTCTCTTTTTTTTTTTTTACTAGGCTTTGCTCATGTCAATAGTTTGGTTATATGATGCTTTGAAAAATGCTAAAGTGCTAAAAAAGACTAAAGTATCTAGATTCCAACAAAGGACATCAGCTTCTATGGTCAATGGTCTGTTTGTTTGTTTTTTTTAAGATTTTATTTATTATTTATTTGACAGCGAGAGAGAGAGCACGTGCACGTATAAGCAAGGGAAGCAGCAGGCAGAGGGAGAGGGAGAAGCAGGCTCCCCGCTGAGCAAGGAGCCCCACTCAGGGCTCGATTCTAGGGTCCTGGGATCACGACCTGAGTAGAAGACAGATGCTTAACCGACTGAGCCACCCAGGTGCCCCGGGTTCTTCCTGTCTTGAATTGTCCAACAGTATCTTTTTAGTCTTCTTAGGATAATTCTATAATTTAATCTTATATTTGAAGCAACATTTTATGTCATAAGCATTTAAAGTTATGAAGGGAAGAGTCTGGTGTGAAACAGTGGTGACGTAAAGACAGTAGCAAGAGGAACTTTCCTTCGAGGCGAGGAAAGTTGTTGATTCATGTCCAAGGTAGAAGCTGCTAAGCAGTCCTGGACAGCTTGGAGTTTAAATACAATGGGGAACTAGTCAGAGCACTAACATAGAGTTGTAAAGTATATTTATTTTGTTCCTTTTGAGATAGATTATAACAAATTTCTTAACCCCATGCTGTGAATATTAATTTTTTCATGATTTATGTAGTTTGTTTATCGATGGACACTTTTACAACAGGATTTATGAACCTGGGTCCGAGAACAACACGGCAGTTGTGGCAGTAGAAACTCACACAATTCACAAAATTGAAGAAGGGATTGGTAAGTCTTTTTGTTATTCTAGTATCTTTGACCTTAGCTTCCTTGGTTGAGATTTCTTGCCTTTTGTTCCTTATATTTTTACCCCCTACCCAGTGTGCCCTACCAATGCTGCAGCCATCAGTTTGATGGTGGTGCATCTAGAGACACCACTGACAAATGCTAGGCCCATCAGTTGATTATTTAACATCGGTTTGCTAGGGTACTGAAAAGATATTTCATCTACAAAAATTCCACAAAGAAACTAGAGCCTCAAGGTTGATCCTGTCATTAGGGAAGTTGCTGATTAGGACTTACAAGGTGTTGATTGGAAGGCAGTCAGTGGAAAGAAACTGAAAAAAAAAGTTTGAAGTTAGACAAACCTGAGTTTAAATCCTACTTTCTCACTTCTTAGCTGTGTGTCCTTGGGAAAGTCACTTCACCTTTCCAAGTCCCACCTGCATACATTGGAAACAATCATTGCCTCACAGGATTGTTGTAAGAACTAAATAAGATTAAGCATGTAAAAGCACATAGGACAGTGTCTGGCACATAGTGTGGGCTTGGTAAGAGAGCTGTTATCCCAAACTTCTTCCAGAAGACTCCAAAACAATACCAGCCAATGTGAACTGTTAGCTTCTCAGAGGAACCAAGAGACTAGAGATTTTGAATTAAGCTTTTGGGGAAAAGCGTTCGATAAATAACTGATATTTTTTCCATTTTCAGATGCAAGCACTATAGAAGCAAATGAGGATATGGAAATTGCTTACCCCATAACTTGTGGGGAGAGCAAAGCCATTCTCCTCTGGAAGAAGTTTGTATGTCCAGGAATAAATGTGAAGTGTGTCAAGGTAATTGTCTTTTCTCCTTACTGGGGCCTGTTTGGGGGCTCCTTGTTTTCAGAGAGTATAGTTTCAGTGCCTCTTGTCTCTTATCTACCATATCAGTGTTTTCAGTATTGTGGCTCTAGTCCCTATGGTGTCACAGAAAAAAAGTAAGGACTTTGGAGTGAAATTGGCCTGGATTCAAGTCCCACGCAGAATACAAGTTCTAGGAGAGCTGAGAACTTGTTTGTCTTGTTCACCGGTGTATCCCCAACACCTAGAATGATGCTTGGCATATTTATCTATAAATGTTTGTTGAATGAATGAATGGAGTCCCATCTCTATGACTGGGTGACCTTGAACAAATTAATATTTCAGAGGCTCATATGTTAAAATATGAATAATCACATACACTGTCAGGTTGCTAGCAGATAAAATGAGATAATATATGTAAAATGCCTTATAGAAGTGTGCATTATAGTAGTTTATTGAAAATTATTACTGATAAAAATAAATTATCATGAGAGCACAAAGTGGAAATAATTGCTTAAGCTTTTGTCTCAATTGGTAGCCACAGCTGTACCCATAGATAGTAGTCACTATCAGTGGCATCATCCTAGAATCATGAAGGATTACAGAGTTTTGAGGTTCTGCAGTGATAGTGGTTTCTATGGTACTTATTCTTTCCACCACATCCTGAATCTTGTCATTAGGGCTGGGTAGGTTACTTCAGTTTATTTAAACAGCCTTTGCAACATTGGACCCACCTGTTATTCCTGATTTAGGGCATAAATGGACTTCAGGTGCTAATCAGTATATTAATCTCTGATCCTCCTCCTGTCTTCTGTAGCTCTGTACCAGGACAGGGCACTGTGCCCAGAGAAGGATCATCTTCTCTGGCACAGCAGGGCAGGAGGCTGGAAGATACAAGGCTATGACTTAAAATGCCATCTGGGTATTTTTTCATACGTAACAAGTAGAGTTACCTTTCTCTCTCTTGGCCTGCCTAAGCTGACCTTGAGTGATTTTGGACTTTTCTTTTTACCTTAGTTCAATGATCAGTTGATCAGCCCCAAGCATTTTGTTCATCTGGCTGGCAAGTCCACCCTAAAGGACTGGAAGAGAGCCATTCGTCTGGGTGGAATCATGCTCAGGTGAGCTTTAATAACAAGCACACACCAGGGCTCAGTTGGAAGAGCATGCAACTCTTGATCTCAGAGCCCCACATTGAATGTAGAGATTACTAAAAAAAAAAGAAAGAAAGAAAAAGAAAACAAGCACATACCTTTTGTTCTGTTTTGTTTTTTAAAAGATTTATTTATTGGGGGCCTGGGTGGCTCAGTCGTTAAGCGTCTGCCTTCGGCTCAGATCATGATCTCAGGGTCCTGGGATCGAGCCCCGCATCGGGCTCCCTGCTCAGCGGGAAGCCTGCTTCTCCCTCTCCCTCTGCCTGCAGCTCCCCCTGCTTGTACTCTGTTTCTCGCTCTCTCTCTCTCTCTGTCAATAAATAAATAAAATCTTTAAAAAAAAAAAGATTCATTTATTTATTTTAGAGAGTGCGGGGTGGGGGAGGGAAGGACGTCTTTTTTTTTTTTTTAAGATTTACTTGTTTATTTTAGAGAGAGAGAGAGCACGAGCAGGAGGGGCAGAGGCAGAGGGAGAGAGAATCTCAGCCAGACTCTGCTGAGGAAGGAGCCTCTTGAGGGGTTCGGTCTCATGATCCTGAGGTCATGACCTGAGCTGAAACCAAGAGTCAGATGCTTAACCAACTTCACCACCCAGGCACCCCTGGAAAGAGAACCTTAAGCAGACTCTGCAAGGAGTGTGGAGCTGGCTGTGGGGCTCGATCTCACAACCCTGAAATCATGACCTGAGCCAAAATCAAGCTGAAACCAAGAGTCTAAATTAACTCTTCCCAGCATCTGGGGCAAATTTTTTCTGATGTCAGGATGTTAGGATCCTTTCTGAGCAGAGAAGCTCAGGAGTAGATGACAATCGTACTGAGATCACCAAGCACAGGCAGGGCTAAGCCTGGTGCTGAGGAAGTGTGCCGACCTCGGAGAAGTGTAGGCTACTGACAAGTTCTGTGATAATCTGGTAAAATAGAGACTGCTGTTGATAAGTAACAATCATATTCAGTGAATGCAATCCTTGCCATCATTGTACCACAGAAATAAACTTCAGAATGTATAATACCCTCACCCCCATCTTTATGCAGCAAGCTTATTATTGTAATTCCACCCCCCCATGAAGATTAACATTAATTGGTATTTCTTGAGCACTCACCTATTGATGGATTTTAAAATGTGGTCAGGAATGGAAAGTTCCTCACACAACATGCATCGACAGCCTTAAGAACATCTTACCCATTGTCTTTAATTCTTTTTAAGGAATCTGTCCTAAGAAAAATAGAAATATATAGCACTATAAATAGCACTATAGGTAGTACTTGTAGAGATTCAGGCATAAAGATGTTTATTGCAACATTATTGAAAATTATAGTCAGCTTTAGGGGCACCTGGGTGGCTGAGTCAGTTAAGCATCTGCATTCAGCTCAGGTCCTGATCCCAGGGCATCAGGCTCCCTTCTCAGTGGGGAGCCTGCTTCTCCCTCTCCCTCTGCCCCTGCCCCCATTTGTGCTTGCTCTCTGTCTCTCAAATAAATAAAAAAATATTTTTAAAAAAAATATGTTGTTTTGAAGTTTGATTAGTGAGAACATGTTTGTTTGTTTGTTTTCTAAGATTTTATTTATTTGATAGCAGGAGAACCCAAGTAAAGATTTAAATAAAATCTTTAAAAAAAAAACAGACACATATGTACACAAAATTTAATAAAAGAAAATATCTCAAAATGTTAATGTTATCTTTGTGTTGTTAGATTTTTTATTTTTTATTTTATTTTAAGATTTTATTTATTTGACAGAGAGAGACAGCGAGAGAGGGAACACAAGCAGGGGGAGTGGGAGAGGGAGAAGTAGGCTTCCGCAGAACAGGGAGCCTGTTGCAGGGCTCAATCCCAGGACCCTGGGATCATGACCTAAATCGAAGGCAGACACTTAACAACTGAGCCACCCAGGCGCCTCTGTTGGATTTTTTAAGAAGCAGTTGTTTTCTTTATAGTTTTCTGTATTTTCCACAGAAAATATTAATTTTTTCTTCACATATTATTTTAATAAAGAGACACATTTAAAAAAAGAAGTTATTCCAGATGATTTGTATACAGAAATCAGTAGTTAAATAAAATTGGGAAGGAATACTTTTAACTTCCATTATTGTTCTTGGCCTGTCCTTTTTGCCCAGAAAAACAAGCACATGCCAACTTTCCTCAAATGTAAGAAGGAATCAGAATGCCTAAAAGATCTTTAGTGAAAGCCAAGTAACGTTATAACATAGAGTTTACTCTAAAATACCCCATGGTTTTGCTTATGGCCTGTAATAACAATGTCTTGTGAATCCAGTTATAAGGGCATTTTATAGTGGGGGTTTAGTATAATCAACTTTGCACTGTATTTATAGGAGACTTTTTTTTTTTTTTTAAGGAAAGAAATGTGCTGAAGTTTTATGTCTCCAAAAGTGGCAACAGATCTTGCTGGTCTAGGAATACTAATACATCAGAATCTCATCATAAAATTCTTATTCCCTATAGCATTTCTCAGTTGTGCTGGGATATATGAACTAGTCTTTTCCCCTTTTGGGTTTAGTTTCAATGAGATTCTATGGGGATACTCAGATGTTGTCAGGAGTATATCCCTACCTAAAGCTTGGTGATAACGGGAAATGAGAGAATACTCATAATGAGCAGACTGCGGAGGGAATAGGGGTACTTGTAAATGCGGGCAGGGCCAATGAAAATTTTGTAATCCCAGTTAGAATTTTTGCAACCTAATGACTTTAAATGCTATTAGGTTTCACTATCTATGGAGTAGATGCAGCAACTTTGTTTCTGTTTGTCCCCAAGGCCTAGTTCCGTCTAGATGTGTTGCAGGCTGAACTGGTACTTTTTGTCTCCCTTTACACAGGAAAATGATGGACTCTGGACAGATTGATTTTTACCAACATGACAAGGTTTGCTCCAATACCTGCAGAAGCACCAAATTTGATCTTCTGATCAGCAGTGCAAGAGCTCCAGTGCCAGGACAGCAGACAAGTGTGGTGCAGACACCCACTTCGGCCGATGGTAGGGGGTAGGAAACCACCTGAAAACCCAGTGTTTTTTAGTAACACTTTTCCCCTTACTTCTCTTTTGTGTTTCTTAATTTTAATTCTCATGAGCATTGAAGTCCCTGTAAGGTATGCTAATCTTGGGTGTGATTCCGTACTTTAGAAACAGATCTCTTTGTTTTCTCCCAGATGATTCCTATTGGCCATACCTCCTTCCTTGTTTCTTTCTAAGTATGCATAAGAAACATTAGAAAGATGGTTCAGGGGCGCCTGGGTGGCTCACTCAGTTAAGCGTCCCACTCTTGATTTCGACTCAGGTCACCCTCTCAGGGTCGTGAGATCGATCCCCATGTCAGGCCCCGTGCTGGGTGTGGAGTCTACTTAAGATTCTCTCTCCCCCTTTCCCTTTGCCCCTCCCCCCCATGCGCACACTCTCTCTCTCAAGAAAGGAAAGAAAAAAAAAGAAAGATGATTCAGTGGTTATTATGTTTATTCAGTGGTCTCACTTTGGTGCCACTTGGCATATCTTTGAAATTAGATTGTTTTGAAAAATCCTTTGCTCTACGGGTGGTCAGGCAGGAAGTAGAATGGTGAATGGTTTTCAACTGTTGAGCTGAGATGTGCCAAAGATAATCTATGGTTGGCTGGACTGTGCTCTGGAGACTCTGCTGCTGTAAGGATCAAAAAGCCCTGCCTGGAAGGGATCCACATAACCAAGTTGAGGTTTCCTCACCAATGAGGCAGGATGGGCATATGCTTAACTTGTATCGTTGACCTCAGGACTAGAGCTCTTTGCTCTTTTCTAGGAAAGATGGAGCCAGGTGAGATGATTATTAAGGATTCAGTTAGTCCAGGGGAACCTGGCTGGCTCAGTCGGAAGAGCATGTGACTCTTGATCTTGAGGTCATGAGTTCAAGCCCCACACTGGGTGTAGAGATTACTTAAGCAAACGAACAAACAAAATTAAAAAAAAAAAAAAAAGATTCAGTTAGTCCAGTTAAGATTCTTGTCTCAACTATTTCCAGAAGACTTAAAAATATGCCTGACAGAATTAGAAAGATACTAACGGATGTAAGGGAAGTACCTGTTTTAAAACTGACCTCTCAAGGTTTCTTTTGGTCAGCCCTAATATTCCGTGAGTAACCACTGGGTAAGCAGAAGTCAGATCTCTTATTTTTATTTTATTTTATTTTTTTTAAAGATTTTATTTATTTATTTGAGAGAGAGAGAATGAGGGATAGAGAGCATGAGAGGGAAGAGGGTCAGAGGGAGAAGCAGACCCCCTGCCGAGCAGGGAGCCCGATGTGGGACTCGATCCTGGGACTCCAGGATCATGACCTGAGCCGAAGGCAGTCGCTTAACCAACTGAGCCACCCAGGCGCCCCAAGAAGTCAGATCTCTTAGAACCTAAGTTCCCTTCAGGAAAGCATAAAATATCTAGCAGTTTGAATTTTTGGTTTTTGGTCATGTGAGTCTTTCACTTGAAAAGTAAAAAATGCTATAAAATTACTTACTTTTTATTTGGCCAAAACTCCTTTAGTTGACTATCCATATCAATATTACTTTTTTGGTTGATTATTAATATCCTCCAGCATGTGGAGTCCATACTTGTCTATATATCTGTCTGGATCAGTTTGATTTTTCTCCATTTTCTTTGTTTAGGATCTTCCCCCCCCAAAGATTTATTTATTTGACAGAGAGAGAGAGAGAGAGCACAGGAGGGGGAGTGGCAGGCAGAGGCAAAGGGAGAAGCAGGCTTTCTGCTGAGCAGGGAGCCCAATGTGGGACTCAGTCCCAGGACCCTGGGATCATGACCTGAGCCAAAGGAAGACGCTTAACCGACTGAGCCATCCAGGCGCCCCTGTTTAAAATCTTAATATACGAGGGGTTCCTGGCTGGTTCAGACAGAAGAGCATGTGACTCGGGGTCGTGAGTTTGAGCCCCATGTTGGGTGGAGAGATTACTTAAAAAAAATCAAATCAAATCAAATCTTAATATACAATGTTAATAGCAAATGTTCTTTTCCTCTGTGAATCTGCTATTCATGGATCTCTTCTTATCTGATTTTTTTGGTCTCATTTCTCTTGCTTTCTCTTACATAGCCTGATAAATAAGCTATAGCAACTTCTGATATTCTAGATGGTTAGTATCAAATATGCTTGTAGTAGGGCTCTTGGCTAAGCACCATACTTTTCTCTTAAATTTTTCAGGTCCTCCTCATCCTCACTAAGTCTGGGGCAGATAGCCCGGCAATCATGCTCACCTTCAGTCTTTTTAAAAAACATACCTGCTTAGGAAGCAGATTGCTCTTTTGTGATTTTATAAGTTATCTTTCCCTTTCTATTCAGAGTAAGAAGAAAGCATTTTCTTTTGAAAGGCAGGTTTTCTTTAGAAAATCCAGTATTCATCCTGGCTTACCAAGGATTCTAGTTTTTACTATATGGACCTTAAAATAACAGGGTCTCTTTGGCTGTATGAGATAAAGGATAGCTATGACTTTTTCATGGAATTCACCAGCTTTACCTCTAATGGACCGCTTTTAGGTAGCATCACACAGATTGCCATCTCAGAAGAGAGCATGGAAGAGGCAGGGCTGGAATGGAACTCCGCTCTCACTGCTGCTGTCACCATGGCTACAGAGGAGGGTGTGAAGAAAGACTCAGAGGAAATTTCAGGTACTTTTCTATGAGGCTCAGATATCTTGCAGGGTCTTGTGACCCTTCTCACTGTTATGATTATGGACACAGAAGGTCTCTTAATTACTTTTGCTGGTTTTTCTCATGCATGTTGATGATAATTGTAGCTGCAAACATTTTATTTTCATCCATGCAACAACAGCCATGCACAGTCACATTTTGCACAGGAAGAAATTGAGATTCAAAAAGATTCAGCAGCTTGCCTCAGACCAGCCACACAGCCAATAATGTCAGAGCCGAATTCAGCCATTTGACTCTGTAGTCAGTGCTTTTCATTCTGTCAGACTGCCCCCAACTTTGGAACATTTCTTAGATAAACCAGGCTGCAAGATGTTAAAAGGAAAAATTAGGTAGCAGGTGGTGTAGAAGATGGTGACTAATGATGATTCACTTAGAGGGGACCAGGGGGGGTTTCACATCATCCTCCATTCATTAATTCACTTGAAAAATATTTATTGCTGCCTATTTTTAGTTGGCACTGTTGCCAACACAGATGAAAAGACAAAGCCTCTGGCCTCAGAGAGCTTATCATCCCACCTATTCAGCTGTTTTATTTTATTTTGTAAGTATAGGACTAGAGGGAGTATAGTTGACCCTTGAACAACGTGGTGGTTTGGGGCACCAACCTCCTGTGCAGGGGAAAACCCCTGTGTAACTTGACTCCCCTGTCCCCCGCAACTTAACTATAAGCCTTACCAATAACATAGTTGATTAACATATTTTATATATTATATGTATTATATACTGTATTCTTACAATAAACTAAAGAAAATGTTATTAAGAAAATCATAAAAAAATTTTTTAATTTAAAAAATACAGTACATCGCTGTACTGTATTTATTGAAAAAAATCTGTATATAAGTAGACCCTCACAGTTCACACCACGTTGTACAAGGCTCGCCTGTATATCTTTAATATCTTTAACTTTTAAGATATTAAATACTATTTAATTTTAAATTTTTAAAATAAGTAATATTTAATATTTATTTAATATCTTTATTAGAGGAAGATAACCTGCTCCCTATAGCCAGAGCCATGACAAATTGAGGCAATTATCTCAAGTCCCTATGTTGCTGAAGAGGGCAAATAATTGGGTACCAACTCAGGGGGCTAGCTAATATTCCAAAAACTTCTTCCTTTTTCCCAGAAATGGCCCAACAAGAAATCATTTCAAATTGAAATAATTTTGAGTTTAACTTGTAGAGATTTGCCTAAGTATATGTAGCATCCCTTGTTTATCTTCTGTCTTATCCCTCTTGTGTCAGAGGACACTTTGATGTTCTGGAAAGGAATAGCTGATGTAGGGCTGATGGAAGAAGTTGTCTGCAATATCCAGAAGGAAATAGAGGAGCTACTCAGGGGAGTTCAGCAGCGGCTCATTCAGGCTCCCTTCCAGGTCACAGGTAAGTGCACTAATTTTAACAACAGTAGTCATTTTACTGAACACTAACAACTGTAGGCAGATCCTGTTAGTGTCATGAAAACACTGGGGTATAAGTATTATTATCCCCATTTTACAGATTAGGAAACTAAGGCTTATAAAAGTTAAGTTACGTGTCCATAGTTCATAATAAGGTTTTGAACTCAGGTCTGGTCATGCTTTTCCACAGGTAATTTTTGCCTTTATAAATGGTGCCAGAAAGCAGGCTGTCTCTTACGTATAGATAGAGTCTGAAAATTGGAGAAAGTTACCTGGTTTTAGACAAGTCTCATATTCTATCAGTTTAAGGTTTCCAGAACTATTGTGTGCACTTACAGCTGTTTCTGAATACCCATAGGGTACTTGCTGCTGTGCAGCATGTAAAAGGATGTTCTAATCATCTGATACAAAAGGGTTGTGATGATGGGTTTCTGGCTAGCTCAGTTGGTGGAGCATGTGACTCTTAATCTTGGGGTCAGAGTTTGAGCTCCACGTTGGGGGTAGAGTTTACTTAAAAAAATCATAATAAGCGTCTGCTTTCAGCTCAGGTCATGATGCCAGTGCCCTGGGATCGAGCCCCACATCAGGCTCCCTGCTTTGCAGGAAGCCTGCTTCTCCCTCTCTGGCCCCCGCTGTTTGTATTCCCTCTATCGCTGTGTCTCTCTGTGTCAAATAAATAAATAAAATCTTAAAAAAAAAAGTCATAATAATATCTCATAAGCTTGTGTGTGAGTTCCTAGATTTGTTACTTGTGTCTTATTACCTCTTTATAATTCATACATTATATAAATACACTTAAACTTTATAGTAGAATCTTTTTTTTATATTCTTGGGGGGAAAATAGGCAAATAATATAGAAAGCAGGGATGACTTTTATTTTTTTTTTAATTTTTTTAAAAAGATTTTATTTATTTATTTGAGAGAGAGAGAATTAGAGATAGAGAGCACAAGAGGGAAGAGGGTCAGAGGGAGAAGCCGACTCCCTGCTGAGCAGGGATCCCTATGTGGGACTCGATCCTGGGACTCCAGGATCATGACCTGAGCCGAAGGCAGTCGCTTAACCAACTGAGCCACCCAGGCGCCCAGGGATGACTCTTTTAGATAGGATGATCAAGGAAGGCCTCCCTAAGGAGGTGGCATTTAAGCAGAGACCTGAATTGAAGAAGCTAGCCATGTGATGAGCTGGGAGAAGGAACATTTCAGGCGGAAGGAACAAAAACCTTGAAGTTGCAATGGGCCTCATAGGTTCAAAGAATTATAGAAGCTCTGAGGCAGCCACAGTGTATTAGGGTATAGGAGAGTGATAGGTGATATAAGGTTGGAGAGGAATAGAGAGGACAGTTTATTTAGTTATTTTTTTTTAAAGATTTTATTTATTTATCTGAGAGAGAGAGAAAGCAGGAGCAGGGGGGAGAGGGAGAAGCAGGCTGCCTGCTGAGCTGGGAGCCTGACGTGGGGCTCGATTCCAGGACCCTGGGATCATGACCTGAGCCAAAGGCAGGCGCTTAACCGACTGAGCCACCCAGGCGCTCTGGAGTCACATACTCTTGTGACTGAGCCAGCCAGGCACCCCTCAAAGTTAGTTTTGACTTGGGGCACCCAGCTGGCTCAGTGGGTGGAGCATGTGACTCGTGATTTCAGGGTCATGAGTTCAAGCCCCATGTTAGGCGTAGAGCTTACTTAAAAAAGAAAGAAAGAAAAAATTAGTTTTGACTTGCTAAATGATTATGAGGCCTTCAAATGGAGATGTCGCTCAGCTAGGTGGAAGTATGAATCTGGCACGCAGAAAAGAGGTTAGGGCTGGAGATCTGCATCTGGGAGTTCTCAGCATGTACAGGTTATTTAAAAGCATGGAACTGGATGAGATGACTGTGGAAGAAAATTGTAGGTGGAGAAGTTGTCTGAGTTAAGGAAGTAATGACCACAACTACTGACAATGCTTGCAAGAAGTTTTGTGTAAAGAGGAACAGAGATAACACTATGAATAACATTGCATGCCAGTTCCCATGTTTGACACTTAAAATATGCTATTTTTTTTTAAGATTTTATTTATTTATTTGAGAGAGAGAGAGCACATGGTGGGGGGAGGGTCAGAGGGAGAAGCAGACTCCCCACTGAGCATGGAGCCCAATGCGGGACTCGATCCCAGGACTCCAGGATCATGAGCTGAGCCGAAGGCAGTCGCTTAACCAACTGAGCCACCCAGGCGCCCCTAAAATATGCTATTTCTTTTTAATATTTTATTTATTTATTAGAGAGCAAGCACGGGGAGGAGTAGAGGGAGAGGGACAAGCAGACTTCACGCCGAGGGCAGAGCCCGATGTGGGGCTCGATCTCACAACCCTGAGATCATGACCTGAGCCAAAATCAAGAGTCAGACACTTAACCAACTGAGCCACTCAGGTGCCCCTAAAATATGATATTTCTAATCTTTATGTCTATCTTGCCGGATAAGTATTATTAGGCCCTTTTGTTTCAGATGAGAAAACTGGGGAATGAAATGACTTATCCAGATTCACACAGATAGGAGGAAACCATAAAACTGAGATTCAAACTTAGCTCTATCTAACACAGTGACCATGTTTTCTAAACCAGAAGTCAGAACTTATAACCAGATGCAAGATTTTTTTATTTTTATATTTATTTATATGGAAAGATGTATAACTTTATAACAATTAAAGTTGACTTATGCATGTGATAAATCTTTGCCAAAAAAAATTTTTTTTTATCTTTGCCAAAATTTTTTAAAATGCAATTAAAATAGTACCGTCATTTCTGGGTTGTTTCATATTTATACGCAGTACAACAGAGAGCTAGGGAAACACTTCCGTTTTAACTTGACGGGCATGTCTTTGTTTTAAATAGATGCTGCTGTTCTCAACAATGTAGCACATACATTTGGCCTAATGGACACAGTGAAGAAGGTTTTGGACAACAGAAGGAACCAAGTAGAGCAGGGAGAAGAGCAGTTTCTCTATACTCTAACAGGTGTGTATAACTTGTTTCTTCTTAGGTGATATTATACTAATATCCTTGAGTCTTGCCATTTCTTTGTGGACTTCTGTTGGGACTGGCTTCCTTCCTTCCTTCCTTCCCTCCCTCCTTCCTTCCTTCCTTCCTTCCTTCCTTCCTCATCATGGTCCTCCTTCTGTATCTTTTGGAGGATTAAGATGTCTGCTCAATTTCTCCATTAATCCAGTAATATTAGTGGCAGAAGAAACAAATTGGCCTTTGTTTTTGTTACATTATTGATATTGCATCTTTTTTTTTTAAGATTTTATTTATTTATTTGACAGAGAGAGAGAGTGAGAGAGGAAACACAAGCAGAGGGAGTGTGAGAGGGAGAAGCCGCTTTCCGCTGAGCAGGGAGCCCGACGCGGGGCTCGATCCCAAGACCCTGGGATCATGACCTGAGCCGAAGGCAGATGCTTAACGACTGAGCCACTCAGGCGCCCCTGGATCTTTTGATAACTATTATCACCTTCTCCATTATTTGTGGTAATCAGGAATTATGAGCACATGAATAATTTAACTCTTTTTATCAAGTACTTAATTTGCATTGTCTCCAGGATGCCTGGGTGGCTCAGTTGGTTGGGCGTCTGCCTTCGGCTCAGGTCATGATCCCAGGGTCCTGGGATCAAGTCCCGCATCAGGCTTCTTGCTCAGCAGGGAGCCTGCTTCTCCCTCTGCCTCTGCTGCTCCCCCTGCTTGTGCTCTCTCTCTCTCTGACAAATAAATAAAATCTTAAAAAATTTTTTTTCACTGTCTCCAAACTAGGTTGTAAAAATATAATGTTGACTAAGACAGCCTCACTCTCTACATGGTCTTTAAGGAACTCAAGGGAATGCAGACATAGAAATAAGTGCAAAAAAGGGCACCTGGGTGGCTCAGTTGGTTAAGCGACTGCCTTCGGCTCAGGTCATGATCCTGGAGTCCCGGGATCGAGTCCCATATCGGGCTCCCTGCTCAGGGGGGAGTCTGCTTCTCCCTCTGACCCTCTTCCCTCTTGTGCTCTCTGTCTCTCATTCTCTCTCTCTCAAATAAATAAATAAAATCTTTAGGGGCGCCTGGGTGGCTCAGTCGTTAAGTGTCTGCCTTCGGCTCAGGTCATGATCCCAGGGTCCTGGGATTGAGCTCCGCATCGGGCTCCCTGCTCGGCAGGAGGCCTGCTTCTTCCCCTTCCCCTCCCACTCCCCCTGCTTGTGTTCCTGCTCTCGCTATCTCTCTGTCAAATAAATAAAAAAAAAATCTTCAAAAAAAAAAATAAGTGCAAAAAGTAGTCAGCTTTGTAACTGAGGCATATACAGTGGGTATGGTGGAAGAAGAAAGGGAGTTGTCACTTATACTCAGAGAGGATCAAGAAAAGGTTTTGGGTAAAGCAGGTGAAAAATATAAAATAAGTCAGATTATCAGCTTTGAATGATGTAGAATATATCATAGTTAGGCATGAAGCCAAAAGGCAAGATTATTTGGTAAGAGAAGAACAATTTATGTTGTCTTAAACTTACTTTTATACCCAGTATATATTTTAAACTCATTTACTGAGTACTCTGAGACCCTTTTCATTTGATCCTCCTAAGAATGTTAGAGGCTGGAGCGCCTGGGTGGCTCAGTCGGTTAAGCCTCTGCCTTTGGCTCAGGTCGTGGTCCCGGGGTCCTGGGATTGAGCCCTGCATTGGGCTCCCTGCTTGGCAGGAGGCCTGCTTCTCTCTCCCCCTCTGCCTGCCAGTCTGCCTACTTGTACTCTCTCTCTCTGTGTCAAATAAATGAGTAAAATATTAAAAAAAAAAAAAATGTTAAAGGCTATTATCCCTACTTTATAGATGAACCAGTGTCATAAAGAGTATAAATGATTTGCCTTGGGGCCACATCAGTACTTGGCAATGAAGCCTGGAATAGAACTTGGCTTTCTTACTCCTAATCCAGTGCTTTCACCTTGAAACTTCACACCATCCAAAAAATGGTTTTTGTTAAGAATGTGGGCTTCTGGTTCTTTGTCCATATTATTTTTTTTTAGATAGGTTTAATCATAGTATACATAAAGTTTTATTTTCTGCTTTTTTTACTGTGACATATTACTATTTTCCCAAGTTGCTACACAGTGCTTTACCTAGACATTCTTTTAGGGATGACATTTAAATTTTCAAACTTTTCTTTGGTAGCTTATTTTGTTGCAGTGAACGTGTATGAATATAACTTTCTCTTTTTTTGTCCTTTTAAACTACTTCCCAGAACTAAGCTTTAAGTTAAATGGTATTGAAAATTGTTTTATGGATTTTTATGACCTGTTGCCAAATTTCCAAGAAGATTATGTCACCATTTTGAACACACCAACATTGGATGTTATTATTTATAATATTCTCTGATTTAACTTTTTTTAAAGATATTATTTATTTATTTGACAGAGAGAGACACAGCGAGAGAGGGAACACAAGCAGGAGGAGTGGGAGAGGGAGAAGCAGGCTTCCCACTGAACAGGGAGCCTGACGTGGGGCTCAATCCCAGGACCCTGGGATCATGACCTGAGCCAAAGGCAGACGCTCAATGACTGAGCCACCCAGGCGCCCCTCTGACTTAACTTTTTAAAAAATTATAATGTAGGGCGCCTGGGTGGCTCAGTTGGTTGGGCGACTGCCTTCGGCTCAGGTCATGATCCTGGAGTCCTGGAATCGAGTCCCGCATCGGTCTCCCTGCTCAGCAGGGAGTCTGCTTCTCCTTCTGACCCTCCCCCCTCTCATGTGCTCTCTCTCTCTCATTCCCTCTCTCAAATAAATAAATTAAATCTTTAAAAAAATAAAAAAATAAAAAATATTAAAAAAAATTATAGATGTAATTGTTATCTTCTTCAAAGATTTTTTTATTTATGAGAGAGAGAGAGAGAGTGCACATGAGAGCATGAGCAGGGGGGAGGGGCAAAGGGAGAAACAGATTCCGGCTGAGCAGGGAGCCTGATGCGGTACTCGATCCCAGGACCCTGAGATCATGACCTGAGCCAAAGGCAGACACTTTTTTTTTAAATTAAGGATTTAATTATTTATTTGACACAGAGAGAAAAGGTGAGAGAGGGAACACAAGCAGGGGGAGTGGGAGAGGGAGAAGCAGGCTCCCCGCTGAGCAGGGAGCCTGACACATGGGGCTTGATCCCATGACGCTGGGATCATGACCTGAGCCAAAGGCAGATGCTTAATGACTGAGCCACCCAGGCACCCCTGAAGGCAGACACTTAACTAACTGAGCCACCCAATCTTGAGGTTTTTATTTTTTTGGTTACTACTGGAAATGGAAAAAAATGCAGTATTTTGTAACTTATGAGGCAGTGTTTAAAAATTTTTGAATGAAAAAAAAATTTTTTTTAATGTGTTCTTGATCCCTACCTACTCCTTTTATTCCAAGCAAGGAATTGATTTGCTCTTGGTGTTCCATAGGAGCAAAGTGCTCTGCAGATGTAACTGATTATTTATTGAATGCTTCTCAGGTACTAAGCAATAGAAGAAGTTCTGGTGTAGAACCAGACTCACCAGTGATCACCAGGGTTGGACTGTACATTGGGAGAGGGATAGTGATAGACGTATTGTGGTGGAAAAGCCACCAAGTTGGCCATCAGAAGACTTTTGTTTTGGCCCAAGCTTTGAGACTTTAAGTAAGTCACTTTACCTTTCTGGGTTCCAGTTAAGATGAATGTGTTAGAACTCTAAGACCCCTAGGGGCGCCTGGGTGGCTCAGTTGGTTGGGCGGCTGCCTTTGGCTCAGGTCATGATCCTGGAGTCCCTGGATCGAGTCCCGCATCGGGCTCCCTGCTCGGCAGGGAGTCTGCTTCTCCCTCTGACCCTCCCCCCTCTCATGTGCTCTCTCTCTCTCTCATTCTCTCTGTCTCAAATAAATAAATAAAAACTAAAAAAAAAAAAAAAAACTCTAAGACCTCTTTTAGTTCTATAATTCTTAGGGACTTCCTCTGTAACTTTCTGTAGACTTCTCTGGGTGCTAATGGTCGACTAAGGCCATTTGGTAGACTGAGGTCACCAGCAAGGTGATCCTGCCTTGAAGGACAGTTTGGGAATCACTGTTTTTTGGAGCAGCCATTGTAGCTCCTCTGTAGTCCATGTTAGTTCCAAAGGGATTGTGCAAATATTCCTTATTTTCATCTGTAGATCCAGGGAAGGCATCTATAAGCTGCCTGATCAACTGCAGGCTTCTTTGGTTTGCATTTTGGTGATAAGTGACAAAATGCCACAGGAGCTTCTAGGGTTGAGCTATAGTAGAATCACAGCCTGAAAATGATTCTGAATTGTTGCCCTGCCTATAATCACACAATGAAATGTAATTGCTGGAGGGATTTTAAAAATCATCCAATTTTGTTTCTTGTTTTGAAAAACAATGAAGCTAGGGGCGCCTGGGTGGCTCAGTCATTGAGCGTCTGCCTTCGGCTCGGGTCATGGTCCCAGGGTCCTGGGATCGAGCCCTGCATTGGGCTCCCTGCTCCGTGGGAAGCCGCTTCTCCCTTTCCCACTCCTCCTGCTTGTGTTCCCTCTCTCGCTGTCTCTCTCTCTGTCAAATAAATAAAATAAAATCTTAAAAAAAAAAAAAGAAAACAATGAAGCTATATAGTGGCAAAACCAGGACAAGACCTCAGGTTCCCTGACTCCATTCACTGTTCCCATGAATATACTTCTCTCCTCCAAAGTCTGTCTTTTTTTTCCACAGAGTTGGAACGCCAGTTGGAAGAACAGAAGAAGCAAGCTCAGGATCACAGGCTGAAATCCCAGACAGTTCAAAATGTGGTACTGATGCCTGTGAGCACTCCTAAGCCTCCAAAAAGGCCCCGACTCCAGCGGCCAGCTTCCACCACAGTCCTGAGCCCTTCTCCTCCGGTCCAGCAGCCTCAGTTCACAGTCATCTCGCCCATCACCATCACCCCAGTGGGCCAGTCATTTTCCATGGGCAATATTCCAGTGGCCACCCTCAGCCAGGGCTCCAGTCCTGTGACTGTTCACACACTGCCTTCTGGCCCTCAGCTCTTCCGCTATGCCACAGTGGTCTCCTCTGCCAAGAGCAGCTCACCAGACACAGTGACCATCCACCCTTCATCTAGCTTGGCACTGCTAAGCTCCACCGCCATGCAGGATGGGAGTACCCTGGGCAACATGACCACCATGGTGAGCCCCGTGGAGCTGGTGGCCATGGAGTCTGGCCTGACCTCAGCAATCCAGGCTGTTGAAAGCACCTCGGAGGATGGGCAGACCATCATTGAGATTGACCCAGCCCCAGACCCAGAGGCTGAGGATACTGAGGGTAAAGCAGTCATTCTGGAGACAGAGTTGAGGACTGAGGAGAAAGTTGTGGCTGAGATGGAAGACCACCAGCATCAAGTCCACAATGTGGAAATTGTGGTCTTAGAGGATTAACTGGGGATCTCGGGGCCAGGAGATATGTTTTGGTTTGGAATTTTAATTATTTGTTTATTTTTATCATTGTCCCACTCATTTCCACATAGGATCCTTTTTTTTAAACAAAATCTCATTGTTGTAACTGAAAATGTTGGGTTCCTCCCACCCCCTTATTGAAAAATAGACAAAAACAAGCTGTCCTTCCAGAAGTTGAGAGTAGGTCACTCCATGTTCTAATCCTTTTACACCAAGAAAGTTATTTCTTTTAAGGGAGGCATCAGGATAATCAGAAACCCTGTCCAGAAAGCCCTTTCCAGGCTAGTCTGTTTGTGCCCGGATGTGGTTTTATTTTTGTAAAGGTGCATTGACCAAACTCTGGAAGGCAGATCTGACACTGGAAGGCAACCCACCCACACATGGAAGCAGAAAGATACTTTATTCTGTATCCTGGAAAGGGCCCTCAGAGGCCGGTGCAAAACTCTGAAAGGAAAGAAAGTTGACCTATGCTTGGAGGGGAAAGTGGCATACCAGCAGTAGCTTAAAAAGGGAAGTGCTTTGGCCAGGATGGGGCAAGGAAATTATCTTAGCTCCAGAAGTGCAACTGATGCCTCTTGATATCTCTAAGGGTTATTACCATGGGTGCCATTTTTAGGAGAGGCTAGTAATAAGTGGAAGGGTATATCTCCATGGACCAAGTGGCATCAGGGGCCTAGGGGCCCGTGGCTTTGCAGAAATAGAAATCCCCGGTTGTCACAGCTAGGCTTTGTGATTCAAGCTCACCTTCCCTCCCTTCCTCAACTTTGTCAAAGCACTTAACCCTCCTAAACTAGGATCAGTCCATTCATTTGCAAACTATGTGATGTGGTGTAAATTTCTCTGGTTCTTGGACTGCGGCTGTCATGGGGGTGGGGCTCCAAGGCCATCATTTTTATTGCATGACTCCAGGTGCAGGGGAGTTCCTCATCTAGACCAGCTGCCCTTTTTGGTGGGGCCCTTTTTTGGCTTTGGAACCAAAAGCAGCCACTCATTTGGTGCTTCCTCTTGTTCTACCCTCCATCCCTCAATTGTTAATGGCATCTGTCTCCTGGATCCCACGCTCTTCAGCTTTTTGGCTGATTTGGAGAACAGTGACAGGTGCCTGCTTGCCTTCATCCTCTTTTAGATTCATTTATACCATTTATACCACAGATGTTTCTGTGAGATATTGAGCTCATAAAAAAACCTTAGGCTTGGCAGGGAAGACTCAACAGCCCCAGCCTATCCTGAGGCACTGAGTAGATGTCTCCTCCTGAGTGAGCTGGACTCCCTGGGAAAGAAGCATTGTCTGCAACATTATATTATAGGAAATGTACCAGGAATGTCAATAATAATATCTTGGGGTTTTTTGTTTTGTTTTGTTTTTTGTTTAATGTTGTTTGTATATTTAGAGCTGGGCCATTTTCCGTGCTGATTCCTGCTCTTTGACCATCTTCGGTGTTTGGGGCAAGAGGGGATCCTGGTTTTTATTTCTTTGATTGCATTGTTTACTGCACTAGGACAAATATAGGGAAACTGCAGACAATTTAAAGGAAAATGAGGTCAAAAAAGATAACACACACCTTAGGAGTGGGAGGTTTTTTGTTTTTTTGTTTTTTAATTAAAAGCAAAACTTTGACTTATAGTTCCCCCCCACTTTTTTTAGAGAAGCCACCCACCTGAAGCCATGTTTCTTCCAACAGATGTTGGAAACCCTGTTGTCAAGCAAGTGAAAACCATTCTGCCATCCCTGAGATGGCTTTAATAGCTAGAGAAGCCCTCTAACTTGGGAGGGTCAATCTTAAAAGCCTTAAGGGTGAAATTTCTGAACCCCATATAGTTGTGGCTTTCAGCTCTAAAATTGTCTGGGGTTTTACTTTTCTCTTCAAAATGTTTAATAGATGTAGCAATCAGCTTAGAACAAACCTTTGGTCCTTTAGTGAGGGAACTGGCTTTTATTGTTGCCTCTTTAGGTTTTCTGATGGTACATAAACAAAAACAAAATTTCTATCTAAGTCTAAAACTGCTACTCGAACCTAGAAAGGCACATGCCATGTGCCTGTCTTGGTTTTTAGGGATACTTTTTGCTTTCCCAGAGATGGGCGTCCAATTCAGGACAGAGGAGGAGCCCTGGAGAACACCACACACTAGCTCAGGTTCCTTTCTTTCCTCCTTCAGCTGTCTGTAGTGTTTTAAAGCAGTTTGAGCATCATGCTTCCAAAGTCAAGAGATCTCCTCCTCCTGAAGACAGAACCTGTTTACTTTCACTATCTGAATATTCTGGCTTGTGGAAATACATGAGCTTTGTTGTTTTCCTGGTCTTCCAATAGCCTGTCATTATTGTTCGCTGCTGTGCTACCCATTGTTGAGTGGGGGTTTCCTCAGAGCCCTGGTCTAAATAATCTCAGACAGTGGGAGAAATATGCAAGCCGTTGGTATGTGCACAAGCAGTTGCAATGAATCATTCCTCAGGCTGACTTGGCAGGAGCCATCTATCTTTCTGTTCATTCATTAAATAAACATTTATAAGTACCATCTACGTGCCAGGCTTTGTGCTAGGCACTAGCAGTACAGAGTTGGAAACAGAGTTCCTGCACTCAAGGACTTCATACTTCAGAAATTGTCTGGAGTTAAGAACTATATTTCAATATAATTGATTTCTTTTGTAACCCTGTATTTTATTTCGTGCATTGAAAAACATTACTCTGCAAATTGGTCCATAGGTTTCAGGAGACTACAAAAGATGCAAAAAAGTTAAGCCTTTCCTAGTAAGATACTGAAACATCATCATATTGGGGTTAGTGCAGCCATGAAGCTACTGGCTGGGAGCTGAGAGAACAAAGGATCAGGCACCTAATCTGACCTGGGGAGGGGGGTGTGTGACGGGAGTACTTACTGGAGAAGGTGTACACTTAAGCTAGTTTAGGAGAGATCATTTTGGCTAGTTTTTTTGGTACTCCCTTTTCAAGTGGTGGGGCTTACTTACATAAGGGGAAAAAAATCCTTAGTCTTTTGCTGCTTCTGCCTCCAGAGCTAGGCAGAGTCAGCAGCATGGGCAGTGTCCAGAGAGTACCACACTGGAAAAAGCCAAGTCATGCGTTAGCTTCTCTGAGTTTCCATCAGAGGAATCCAGTGCCTGACTGGAGTTTAGCTGATAGAAGGTAAATGCCCCCAGCCTTCCTGCCATGTGGTTTCCATAAAGGCCTTGGAGTCAGCTGTGCAACTGTCTCACCTTGGTTCTGTCCCTGCCTTGTTCTTTTCCTCCTTTCAATTTTCAGGCGCCTTCCCTGCTCCCACCCCTAAAACAAAACAACTCCCGTTATTCTAAAGTAAAAATACACAATATACTTGAATATTCAAGATTCAAATCCACTTCACGTGAAGTTTCTTTCATACATCTGTCCACATTAGGGAAGGAAGACCAATGTTAATACATATACCTTGGAAATTGATAATTCAGTTCAGGTGGTCTGACACTTTTTAGTGGTGGCATTTTATCCCATTTCATGAAAGGCACTAAGGAAAGTGTGTTGGGAAATACTGGTATTGGTAACATCTGATTATAAAGATAGTATAATCAAGCATGAAATATACAATTACTAGTTCACTGAATTATAACTGCTCCAGGTTTTAGTACCATTAGGAGGTAGAAAGGATAAATGAAAGGTTGAATTGTGAAAATAGGCATGAGGTTGTGATTCACTTTGGGCAATGCTCCTGAGCAAAGAGTCCTCTCTGAGAAGAAAGTCAGAAACTAGGCTAGTCCCTGCATTTTCAGACACCTTATCTAGTACAGTTGATCACAGATTCCCTCACCCCTAGGATTCCTCTTGGGGAAATTCTTGCATGGTCTAATGTATAACAGTAACAACCAAGGTTGTTACGCTAGACAAGGTATCAGTTCTGTTAGATTTAGACTCTGCCCCTGGAATTTCTCTTAGGCAGCCCTATTTGAGTCCTTTCCAGGATTCCTTCCCAATCCAGGAACAATTTTCTTAGTCCTGATTTATACAATTTGACTTCCTCTAGAAGGTTCTACTTTCCTGTAACTTCTTTATCCATACTCCTACTTCCTTAGCCCTAGCTTTTGGGAGCCAAAGTTGATTTGGTTCCTAAATTCTGCCATGTCAATAACTCTTGAGACAATCATTTTTCTCAAGGAACCCCCAAGACCCAAACCTCAGCATACATCCATAGTCTGCAGTCTTCATTACCTAAAACAGCTTCCTCAGCTCCATCAATCACCTGAATTGAAGCACCTTTGGGATGTGTTTGTGCAGTGACTATCTAAAACCTGTCTTTTTTGGGGGGGAGGGGAGGCACCTCGGTGGCTCAGTGGTTAAGCATCTGCCTTCGGCTCAGGTCATGATCTCAGAGTCCTGGGATCAAGGCCTGCATTGGGCTCCCTGCTCAGTGGGGAGCCTGCTTTTCCCTCTCCCTCTGCCCCTCCCCCAACTCGTATTCTCTCAAATAAAATTTTTTTTTAAAGATTTTATTTTTTATTTATTTATTTGACAGGTAGAGACACAGCAAGAGAGGGAACGCAAGCAGGGGGAGTGCGAGAGGGAGAAGTAGGCCTCCTGAAGAGCAGGGAGCCCCATGTGGGGCTCGATCCCAGGACTCTGGGATCACGACCTGAGCCGAAGGCAGACGCTTAACCGACTGAGCCACCCAGGCGCCCCTCAAATAAAATCTTAAAAAAAAGATTTTAAGTAATCTCTACATCCATTGTGGGTCTTGAACCCACAACCCTGAGATCAAGAGTTGCATGCTCCACCAAATAAGCCAACCAAGTGCCCCTAAATCCTATCTTTTATATCCAGCTGATTCTCTACCTATGACCCATGGCCCCGGCTAAGACATGCCTGTTTCCTGGATAGATTATTTCAGCCCAGTATGATTCCTACTGCCTCTTCACAACTACCTGAAATTTCTGTTATGTTTTATGAGCCTCTCAGCCTATAGTAGACTACGACCTACTTGGAAATTTACTCTGGGTTCTCCTCTTGCATCTATGGTTTCCAATTCTGTACTTTTACTGATAGTTATGGCTAGTAATATGGTATACAGGAATTTTATTTTTCTAGTTTGAGAACAAGAATGAACAATAGTATTGGATCACATCTAAGGGTAAATGTGAAGGTAATAACCCAGAAGGAAAGACAAGTTCCTCAATGGACTTTGTAGGAGCTTCTAAAGAAAGCATATACAGAGAGGGTTTACTTGCATTCTGAAGTATAAGTTTTTTTTTTTAAGAACTACTCTGCTGTTTCCTCTAAAGAAATCTATGTATTACAGAGCAAACTGGAAGCCCAGAACCCTGATTCTCCTGAGACTTTGGCCCACATTTTTGTTAATTTTTTATGAAATATAAATGCATAGAGGAAAGTGCACAGATGACTGTACAATTTGATAAAATTAAACTGAACATATCCATTAAATCAGCTACCAGATTAAGAAAAAAAAGCAGCACCTCACCCAACCAGGATAACCACCAACTAGCTCTCTAACACTATGGCTCGGTTTTATCTGTTTTTGAACTGTTCTGTGGCTGGCCTTTTCTTTTTTCCTTCCCTTTCCCTTTCTTTCTTTTCCCTTTCTTTCTTTTCTTTTTCTTTCTTCCTTCCTTCCTTTCTTTCTTTCTTTCTTTCTCTTTCTTTTCCTTCCTTCTTTCCTTCTTTCCTTCCTTCCTTCCTTCTCTCTTCCTTTCTTCCTTTCTTATTTTCTTTCAGAGAGCTAGAGATAGCACACGCACTCTCTCTCTCTCTCACACACACACACACACACACACACACACACACACGGGGGCGAGGAGGGGCATAGGGAGAGGGAAAGGGAAAAGAGAATCTCAAGCAGGCTCCATGCTGGGCTGACATGGGGCTCAACCTCATGACCCTGAGATCATGACCTGAGCCAAAATCAAGAGTCGGACACTTAACTGACTGAGCCACCCAGGTGCCCCGAACATTTTCTCATTCAATGTTATGTTGTGATATTCACCCATGATGTTGTGCGAAGTTGTAGCTGGTTCTTTCTCACTGCTGTGCAGAAACTGTAACTGTGTCATAGCTGATCCATTCTAATGATGGTTGCTTGGAGGGTTTCCAGTTTGGGGCTATTATAAATAGTGCCTCTGAACATTCTTGTCCATGACTTTTGATGAACATATAAATGCATTTATACCTTTCAAACATTAGGACAGTTCACATGAAAAATTCAAGATACAGTTTTTCTTAAAAAACAAAAAACAACCTAAAAGATCTGACAACACTGGGTCCACATTTCCTCATAGAAGC